AAACTATACTTTTTATAGTTTAATATACGTGTTCTAAAATGAATGAATAATATTTATTATGAATGACTTAGTTTCAGTTCATGATGACAAACTAACAAGGAACACATTCAATAATTAGAACTTATGATTATACACTTTGCTCAACATAATACAAAGTGTTATGATATCTACATGCTGTTGGCTAACTTTAGCCATTCTGCCCTGTTTTGGAAAAATCATAGAAAAATCATACGAAGTCGAAAACTAGATCCGTAAATTCTAAGAGTTCACAAAATGTGTCTAGTTTACTCATAATTTTTACCACGATTTTTAACGACCTCCAACTTGGGTGAAAAGGTCCATAATCACAGACTGGTCCGGATTGTTGTTTGAAATGATAGGCAGTTTTGTAAAAATCACCATAAATTGTAGAAAAATCGTATGGAGATGTGCAAGTAGTCATTTTAAAGCTAAAAACTTGAACTATTTTCACCTTGTACAGTTTTGAAAACAAAATTGTTTAAGATGCCCAAAACAGTCCGTGAATGGAGTTGAACTTTTCTGATGAAGGCTGTTAGAAAATTTTAGTTATGTTCTTAATGTTTGAACATGTATTCCCCCCCTGAAAACTTGAGAAAACATGAAAATGTAGGGGTATGGACTCACCTTGAGTGATTTCAGTGGATGGATGATGGAGAGAAGGGGTGTTCAACTCAAGAACACTTGGGAAGATTGCTTGAAGATTTGAAGATCTAACACAAATATGATGGAGTTTGTGTAAGATATCCATCATTTGAGTGGAAATAAGTGAGATAATCATAAGGAGAATGGATTATGCTTACCAAATGTGGAGGAACACTTGAAAATCAGCCTTGAATCTCGAGTTTGGTGGAGAAAAAGTCTGAGAGAAAGGTGGTGTTTGATACTTAGTGAAATGAGAGCAAATGAGAGAAATGAGGAGAGAGGATGTTTGTTCCAGCTCTAAAAATGTGGGGATGAGTGTAATTTGAGTGTAAGGGACATTGAAGTGACTTAGGTAAGGTGGGGAGGTGTGGTTAGTCAAAGAGTGGGTGTGGGGTGGTTGCTTGTGACATTGGATAAGGCAAAGTCAACACTCCACCTTTAATAATTCACCCATTTGATTTTTATTATTTAGATAATGATTTTCATCAAAATATGTTTAAATTATGAATATTTAGGGTTTATTATGTTAAAATATAATTTCTGGAGAAAATCCCGCTTTAAAATCACGAAAAACGGGCTTAAAATGTTAAAAATATAAAAAAGGGGCTAAAAGTGACAAATTTCCGAAATCTGGCCGAGGTTCGACCTTCTGATGCTGAAACCGAGAGGAGGGAGGGTAGAAACCTAGAGGGGAGAAGAGAGAGAGCAGGAACCGAGAGGGGAGAAGAGAGAGGGCAGGAACCGAGAGGGGGGAAGGAGAGAACAGAGAGGCGCGAAGAGCCAGAGAGGAGAGAAGGAGCAGAGACCGAGAGGAGGGAAGAGAGAGAGACCGAGAGGCGGGTAGAGACAGAGAGTGAAGAAGCGACAGAGAGGAGAGGAAGCGACAGAGAGGCGAAGCGACAGAGCGAGAAGCGATAGAGACAGAGACCGAGACTCGGTCTTCGCTACAGTGATTCGGTCCTCCGGTTTCGGCCAACAGAGGCTCGGTTCGTCCAGGGTACTTTCGGCCTTAAGGAGCTTCGGCTCCTTGAGAAGGGTTTCGGTTCCTAAGGTCCATTTTTCTCGTTTTTACCCCGTTTTAAGCCGTTTTTGACCCGGTTAAGGGTCGGAATGACCCGAATGATTCCAAAAAGTTACAGGAAACTTTTGAGAGAGATTTGGGAGAGATTTCTCACACTTGGAGAGATTTGGGAGAGATTTGACATTCTTGGAGAGATTTCTCATACACAGAGATATTTGCGAGAGTTTTCGCATACTTGGAGAGATTTGGGAGAGATTTGACATTCTTGGAGATATTTCTCATACAGAGAGATATTTGAGAGAGATTTCACATAATTGGAGAGATTTGGGAGATATTTGACATTCTTGGAGAGATTTCTCATACAGAGAGATATTTGAGAGAGATTTCACATACTTAGAGGGATTTGGGGAGAGATTTGACATTCTTGGAGAGATTTCTCATACAGAGAGATATTTGAGAGAGATTTCACATACTTGGAGAGATTTGGGAGAGATTTTACATAGAGAGAGATAGAGTGAAAACAACAGGATGCAAACATCATCCTATATACCAAGATACCGACCTTAACCAGGTCTCTAACATATACCATCCTAACTACCAGGATGCAAACATAGCAAAAAAAAAACAACATAACAACGATACACGGATTAGAATCCTATAAAGGGCCGGCCTTGGTTCCTTAGACCCTGTTGATATAGTGAAGATAACTCACCTCGCAACTGCTGATTGAAAAGATAACATCACGCTGCTCCAACCTCCGACACGAACTCCACCACAGATAATACCAAAAGACTGAACCCAATAAATACCAATAATTTCCAAAATACCCTTGGAGGTCAACTGGTTAACTCTTGGTCAAAGTCAAAGTCCTCAGTCAAGGTCAAACTTCCTGACTGACTCTACTCGCCGAGTCGCCCTAAGACTCTCCGAGTCCCACGAACTCTGAGTCACCTCCTGTTCAACTCACCGATTCACAGCTCAACCAAAACGGTTAGGACTTCACGACCAGACTCGACGAGTCCAACAACAGACTCGTGGAGTCCAAGGCCACCTTCAACAGACTCGCCGAGTTGTTCTTCCAACTCATCAAGTCCCTGCCTATCTTCATCCAACTCGCCGAGTACACCCATGTGACTAGCCGAGTACCTCTAGTTCTTAATCCATTCAGTGGCTTTCCAAGCCATGTAGGGGCTCCAATCTATAGATCTACCCTTCCACAAGCTATTCCTCACGTAAATTTGCAAACTTTATGTGAATCCAAAGAGATCTAAGCATAAAGCACTCTTAGGCTAGGGTTTGGGTCAAGAAGGCTTCACTAACAACTCTTGGGCATGAACTTTATCGTTTCCTGGACCATTACAATCCCAGATCTGAGGTAGCAGCCTCAGATCTTACACCAAACTCAAGATTGACCTCATCTATGCTCCAAAAACCCCACAATTGATAAATCTAGATGCACAGAAGCTCAAGAATAGATCTCTTACCTCCACTGCAAGCTCCTACTGGAGAATGGACCAAGTCTCTGCAAAGCCCCATGCTCCAAATCTTCTTGCTCTTCAATTCCCCTCCAAGATTTCTTCCTCCAAGGCTCTAATGCTCTCTAAATCTCTCACAAACGAATGTTTGGGTTTCTGGGCTTCAAGGGAGAGTAAAGAGGTTGGGGAGAGGGTATTATGCTCTTTATATAGGGCTCAACCCCCGGGATTAGGGTTTTCTCCGCACAGCACCAACTTGCCGAGTCCACCCATGCGACTCGCTGAGTTGGTCACTTATCATGCGACCTGAAACGCGACTCGACTCGCCGTGTCTATCCATAGACTCGGTAAATCGACCTTCTTATTTACACCTTTAGCCCTTCCAATGTACTTCTGCATTCCGGGATGTTACAATAGTTTAAGGAAATATGTTTTGTTGGAAAACACATGTCTATTAATTTTTCATTTTCCGCTGGTATGACGGAAGATTTTCGGCAAAAATAAATGAGTGGCTGAGAATGATTCCCCCATTCTTAACCTTTTATATGTATATATATATATATATATATATATATATATATGTGTGTGTGTGTGTGTGTGTGTGTGTGTGTGTGTATGTATGTGTGTGTGTGTGTTCAAATGTTTTTCATTTTGTGTTCTAGAATGCACAAATAAAAATTTAGTAAAAATTATATGTATATTAAATTATCTCCATATATGTATATATATATATATATATATAATAATATATATATATATATATATATATATATATATATGTGTGTGTGTGTGTGTGTGTGTATATATATATATATATTTCATTTGCGGCAAAAATACCTCTCGTTTTTTATATTGCATTTAACTTTATTGTATTTTAAGTGAGTGAGTCCTGAAACTAACAACAAACTCATACATAAAACCTAGGTATGAAATCATTCTGACACAATGTTATTGTTTACATTTATGACGAATTTAATTAGTTTTCATAAAAAAAAAAAATTATAATTATGGATTTTATTTAAAATACATACAATTATGAAAAATCATTTAATATCTATTTTTATTTAATTAAATAATTTTTTAATTTACTAAATTCTTATTTATGCATAGTATACAATAAATGTAAGAAGCACATTAAATATATATATATATATATATATATATATATATATATATATATATATATATATATATATATATATATATATATAGAGAGAGAGAGAGAGAGAGAGAGAGAGAGAGAGAGAGAGAGAGAGAGAGAGAGAGAGAGAGAGAGAGAGAGAGAGAGAGAGGAGAGAGAGGAGAGAGAGAGAGAGAGAGAGAGGTGCGTTTATTCCACCCAAAACCAACTATAAAGTGAAACTCATGACATATTATAACATGTACAAAGTGAATGAAAGCAGGCTAGGAGACAATTAATAGCACTGAAGCATAGAGGTGATGGGTTTATACCTAACATCTTTTTTAGACCATTCAAATCAGATGGTGTGCTAAATCTTTTATGGTGGACCCTTACATATCAAAGTCAAACACACAAAAGGACTCCGGCACTAGCAAAGTCAAACCCGTAAAATGCTGCACTTGATGTTCTAAAGGTTATCAGGATAATCATTTCTAGGTCTTTTTCTCTCTCACTATTACTATATGTGTTGCATAAGCTCACTGGAAGTGATGTTGCTAGCCTGTTTCGATGTCATTTCTATTGGATGTTGAATCCTTGGGGCAGCCAGGGCCCTCATGATGACCCGCCAATGATGGGTTATAGCAATACCACCTTGACCAGAAAAGGTAGTTAAAGAAGTTGACGAAGCTTAGACCAGCTAATAACCAGTAGAAAAGGTCTAATCTGTCGTTGTTGAGGTTGTGTCGCTGAGCCATCCACCATGACCGGACCTAGAAGTGACCTTGTTCACAAGGGATACCAAGATAGAACTTAAGTAGAATCCAAATGAGTATGAGCAATACGTCATTGCTGTCAAGAAAGATTGCATGCCTTCTAATGATTGCTTATAAAAGAATTCGATTAGCCCAACTGCAGTGAACATCTCTGAGACCCCAAAAACAAGAAACTGTGGTGCGATCCAAAAGATTGAGAGGGTTTCTCTCGGATCTCTCAAAGCCATTGTTCTTCGCTTGTGCTCAACTACTGCAGCTGAAACCATGGAGAATGTTGCAATGAAGAGCCCGACACCAACCCTTTGTAGCGGAGAGATTCCTGAGTCATGCCCTGTGATTTTGCGTGCAATGCGGACAAAGGCTGTCTCATAGAGAGGCACTAGGAATACTAGCATGACGTATGGGATGGATTGAAGGGATGCTGGAGGAATTTCAAAGTTTGTGGTGAGTTTGGTATTCATAATGCTACCTTGTTGAACAGAGAACGTTTGGAGTTGTGCTAAAATGGTGTTGAAGATGATGGTGCAGGCAAAAATGGGAACTACTGATATGAGTATCTTCACTTGCTCAACTTGGGACATGGTGCACAATCTCCATGGGCTTTCATTGCTTTGAGTATCATCTTGAATCTTAATACATGCTTTGTCCAAGAACCTGTAAGGAATTGGGGATGCAAAAGAAAGATAAAACTCATGAGTACAATTTAATGACAATGAACGCGTTATCTCAATGCACATATTGATCCTTAAGTTTTGTAAACAAGACCTGAACTTATCGGTATGGAGAAGGCTGCTACCACCATGTGACTCGGTTGAGACATTATGGTGTAGGATGACTGTACTTTGGCTTCCATGGAGCATCTTAAAACTCGAAGGGCAAACTTGTTTCCTCTTCGTAATTGCAGCTACAAAAACCTGAAATAGAGGTGAGAAAAAGTAACCACAAATGCATGTATGAAGCTGAGAAGAACAAAATAGTTGAACATAAGATGTGATGTGTTGATTACTTGAGCAATCGGAGTGAATATACTTCCACAAGTAGGCTTGTTCCTATAAAGAGAAGTCCCCGAAAGTAAGCATATCAATCCGACAGCCATGGCAGCAGCTGAAACAGCAAACCCTATATCCATCCCAGAATTTGTTTGCACCCAAACTAGAAGCGTTAGTGCTATGAGCTCACCGATGCAAAATGCAAAATAGGCACAGTTGAAATAAGTCGATAGCTTCCTAGAGTCCTTTTTCCGGAACTGGTCAGCTCCAAGAGAAATTATATTTGGTTTTAGACAACCACTTCCTAAAGCCACCAAATAGACGGCTGCGAAGAATATGAACTCCTTGAGACCTTGTGCTTCCTCACATTTGCTAACACTCGACGTCATGTCACATTTTGGTGGTCTAAGTTGAGGCAGATGAGCTTGTATAGATAGCAATATAAATCCCTACACATATAAAGTAAAATCAAAATCTTTGTGTTGCAATTTTATTATTATTTGAAGCAAACGTGAAGATTTAATCATTATATACAAACATATAGACTTACACATAGCTCAATGAAGCCGAAAAGTAACATGGTACGGAAGCTACCGAGGTAGGAGTCAGAGACAAAGCCACCAAGGAGAGAAAGTAGAAAGACGGTGCCAACAAAGTTTGTGACAACGTTGGCAGACTTTGATAAAGGGAAATGCATCTCATTGAAAACATAAGTGATAAGATTGTTTCCAACCGCAGCAATAGCCATCATTTCGAATGACTGAAGTCCTGATCAAAAACATCCAATACATCTATTAGCATGCAAAGATTCACACCACATACTACTAGATCTACATATTAGTCACAATATGCACGCAATCAATAACTTAAAGTTCAACCAAGATTCATATGGCTACAGTTCTGGAGGAGAATTACCGAGGATGGCAAGAGCAGCACGCATACCACCATGTTTGCCGGGCTTACAAGGTCTGCCTTTCGAATCAACATAGTCATCCACACATGGTTCTTGTTTGCAATTCTCCCTATTCATTATCTTGTTTACAAAAGCTAAGGAAGTTATGGACTTTTTTAGGTGAGGAAGTGTGTCCCTAGTTTGCTACTTATAATACCGCCCATGTTACAAGTTGCATCATTTTTGTGGATCCACAATTGACAAAACCGTCAAGAATACTACTTTTTAATGCATTAAGAATGAGTGATGGTAACCCGAATGAGCCAGATTGAACCACGTTAAATGAACAGACCGGTACTATGTTTCTGATACTGCGCCATCTTGACTTCTGGGGGTTGACTTCTTTTTGTAGTGCTATAGTGTGACCCACAATTATCCCATTAAGCTTAGACTTCAAAACACTCACTTGCTACCTTTAATCATCGCTTCGCCATTAATTGTATATACCACTTTTCTTTCCAAAAGTAAGATTCAACTTTGGAAGTCAATTAATGAAATCCAAAAATTCAAAGTAGATAGGCCATTTTGTTAGTTTTTTAGTGTTCCTCTATACCTTTAGCTGTAACTAAAATTTATATGAATGCTAAACTAGACTCAGATTACGATATAATACAAGTTTGGTGGTGAGTTTCAAGATATATATATATATATATATATATATATATATATATATATATATATATATATATATATATATATATATATATATATATATATAGTTAGGTTCATGTGAGATGACGTAATTTGGTGAGAACGTGAGACACAATCATAATCACTCATTTTGTAGATAAAAAAACATTTTTAAAATAAAAAATACTTAAAATTTTTTGATTTTGTTTTCAAATATTATTTTCGTCATTTAGATTTTCGAAAAGAAAAAAAAAAGAATAAATAAATACAAATACATTCTTTTACATATTCTAGTACAATATTAAGATATTTTACATATCTGACAAATCTAATAGAATATTCGAACATTCTAAAAATCACATTAAAATATTTACAGAGTAATATTTTATAAAAATATTTCACTTATTTTTCAAAAAAATGATAATTTTTTTTATATATTTTATATATTTTTTATTTTATGTTTTTTTAGGTAATTAAAGTGACGAAAATAATAATTAAAAAAACAAATTTTCAGATTTTTTCTTTTATTTTGCATTTTAAAAATACTTTTAGATTTGATTTCACGGTCTCACAAAATTAACATTATCTCAAATGAACCTGACATATATATATATATATATATATATATATATATATATATATATATATATATATTATATATATATATAATTTTTATCAAATATTTATCTTTATCTCTTTATTGTTTACTGTGTTTAGATAAGTTATTATTCCTTTTTATTAGCCTTTTGGATATGTATTTATGATGAAAGATTCTTTAATGAAAATGCAAGGTTTGAACCAATTATTTCATGGTATCATAGGTTTAACAAACATAAAAATATCTCTGACGACGAAGCCTCTTCAACGACTCAGAGGATTGAGCCAAATGTGTCGTTCTACCTTAGTCCTCAAGATCGAACATTGGATTTTATCATTCCATCATTGCTCTGCGGGGATAACTATGTCAATTAAGCTGGAGATATTCAAACCGTACTAGAAGCATGCCAAAAGTTTAGTTTTCTGGATAGAACAATTTCAAAGTCGGTGCTTCCATGCCCTCAATCAAATTGGGACACCGTCAATACAATGTTGGTGTAATGGATGATGAACACGATAGATGATGAGGCAAAATGCTATATGTATAAATACAAAGATCCAAAACGATTGTGGGGCACGTTAAAGTCTCGTTATCAGTGGTAAACGAGTTAAGAAAAGTTTTAGTTTTCAACTGCTAAATATGAACAAACCAAGAACATGAATGTTGTAGAATACATAGGCAAACTCATTAGTTTTGGGAGGAGTTGCATTATCACAAACCAATAATCACTTGTTATTGTTGTATTAACTATAAGGCTCGAAACAAACAAACATGAGATAAAAAAAAAAAGACAATGACATGTTGTATTAGTTCCTTATGGGACTAAACTCTAAACTCTTTGGTACAATTCATACTAGTATTTTATCCCAAGATCATTTAGCTTCACTTGATAATCTTTTCAATTAGTTGTTTAGTATGGACGATTACGTATATCCAAGGGTGTCATCGAAGAAAAGCCTACCGATATACTTAGATTTTTAGTTCGCGTCAACACAAGAAGGGGAAGAAACCTAGAGCGATCCAAAAATACATTTACCTTGTAGTCATTGCAAGAATAACAGACAGGGGGCTACATGTTGCTTCGAGGTATTAGAATATCTAGAATGATAGGAAGAATGAAACAAGACCGAAGGTGGAAATCATGGAAGCAAATCTGATTTTCTTGGTAAAGGCACCCTTGCTAACGTAATTGTTACGAGCCACAACAACAGCCACTTCACTTCAAATAATGAGTCGTTTCCGTGTTCACAGTGGCACTATGGAAGTATCTCTCGAATCATATGAGTAATACTAAAATTCCTCATTAACATCTGAATGGTGATTTTTGTAAGCAATTATGGATCATTAGCTCAAGGGAAACACATCATCTTACCATTGATGCCTTTTGTTAGGTTAAAAAACACTTCAATAAATGAAAATAGATCTTAACAAGAGTAATAAATGAAAAATCAAAATACAAGACACAATCAATTTTTGTGGTTCACACAATCAGGAGAGGGATTTATTACTTCTTGTCCTAACAGGATTTTATTACGTCCATAGAGAGAGAGAGAGAGAGAGAGAGAGAGAGAGAGAAATTTATTACTTCCTACCGTAAAAGGCTTTTGTATAGTGTATTAGGGTTACACTAAATGAGATTATTTATAGTGAGGTTGACCTAATGATAATGGGCCAAAAATGTCATGGGATGGAGTCAAAGCTGACGAATTCAACTACTAATAAGCAGCCCTGCGTATGTGGGTCGCCGTAAACAGACTGCTGTTACGAATAACTCTAGAGGACTACCTAAGCGAACTACTCCTACGGACTACTTATGTGGACAACCATAAGAAAACTACTTATGTGTATTGCCATAAGAAGACTACTTATATGGAATGTCATAAGCATCTCAACCTCCACACGCAAAAATCTCCCACTTGGAGGTTGATAAACAATTTGCTGCAATCCAAACACAAGAATGAAGTAACCCCCATCTCTCTCTCTCTCTCTCTCTCTCTCTTTCACTTTCTCACTTTCTCTCTTTCTTTCTTTCTTTCTCTCTCTCTCTCTTTATTTCTCTCTATGTGTATGTGTGTCTCTCGTGCCTTCAATTCAAGTACCTGGAAAGCAAGTTGAAACCATACACAACCTCAACATTTATGTAGTCACCACTTTGGCAAAATTTCTGATGGATTCTTCACACCAACAATTTTCTTCAGTTTCATAGTTTCATCACTTATCAATTCACGAATAAAGTAATACCTCATATAAATGTCTTTCATCCTATTATGAAACGTTGGATTCTTATCCAAATGAACTACACTCAGGTTATCACAATACAATACACAATATTCCTGCTATATTACAAGTTCTGACAAGAAACTCCTCAACCATATAAGCAACTTAATTGCTTCTACAATGGCCACATACCCATTTATGTTTTTTTTTTCTTAATCTATAAGTCTCCTAAATCTACGTCAGCAAAACCTTCAAAAACTACCCTTTTTATTCTGAAGCATAAGGCAGTCTCAGAAGTACCCTTCAAGTAGTGTAACAACCACTTAACCCCTTCCTAATGCTCTTTCCCTAGATTATACGTAAAATGACTCACGGATCCCAATGCATGAGTAATATCTAGTTTGGTGCATACCACTGCATACATCAAGAAACCAACTGTTAAGGCGTATGTAAATTTTGCAATCTTTTCTTTATCTTATTCCTTCTTAGAAGACTGTTTCTTTGATAGTCTGAAGTGACTCCCTAAGGGTATGTTTCTTGGTTTTGCATCTACCATGTTGAACTTCTCAAAATATTTCTTGATGTACTTTTCTTAGGAAAGTTTCAAATAACCCCTAACACTAGTGATATCAAAGCTTTTTCTATCCGCTAATCGAACCCCCTCTCTCTAGTGCCCAAAATTCTACATCACACTCTTGAAATGACTGGCATGAAACGATGCACTAATATTCATTATCCATAATTTTATTGAGTTTTTAACACAAGAAATGACCGTATCATCTTCAGAGTGTGCTGCCATATTTAATTTCTTCTTGACTTTATCCATTAAAGGTTTCGGACACTAATCTATGAAATGACCTTTCTCATTATAGTAACAGGTAATATCATATTGGTTCTTTGATTGTCCTCTATTCCTTGATTTTGATCTTCCTCTACCCCCACTTCCTATTGGTTTTCATTCCTCTATCTTATGTACTCAAAATATTATTGGATGTTTCTTCAGTACTTCATCTGCAAAAATCCTCACCAAGGATTGAATCTCGAATTCCTTCAAATGTAACCTTAGCACCTCCTTTTGAACCGCTAACTGTTGTCACTATACCAACCCAATTATTAGGTAAATATGATAATAACTGTAACGCCAAGACCTAATCCTCAAATCCAATATCAACCTTGATATGACTGAATTAAAATCATTCACATGGTCAGTCATCAAGCTATTAGCCTTCATATTTAGATTTACCAACTGAAAAATAATACGTACCTTGCTTATAGTGGAGGGATTATTATACATATTAGACAACACCTTGAAGATATTATAGGTAGTCTTTACATTGAAAATATTGTAAGCTATATTATTTCCCAAGGATAACCTTATCACTCTAAGTACCTATTCATCTAATAAATCCAAGTCTCCCTTCTCCATATCTCCAGGCTTTGTTTCATTTAGTGGAAGATGTTGCTTTTTCTAGAAGAGAGTCAAAACTTTCTCTCCAATAGGAAACAACTATGTTTCCTGAGCACTTGTTGATCTCTTAAACAATTCGTACTGCTTACTGCCAATACGAAACCCTGCTTATGCAGACTCCCATAAGCATACTTCTCCTGTAGACATCTCCTACAGTGTAACACCCTGTTCGAATCATTTCATAAATTGGGGCTATGTCCCAAAGACTAGTTATCATAAGGCTTGCGGCCTTTTAGGAAAGAGACTTAGTCCATTATGAGCGTGGGTAATGTATATTAGGTGATCCGAGAGTTCCGTTGGTGCTTTAGAGCCTAAGGGTATAACCGTAAAGTGATATTCCAAGCCTTTTATGAA